TGTGTGTGTGTGTGAGTGAGTGAGTGAGTGAGTGTGTGTGTGTGTGTGTGTGTGTGTGTGTGTGTGCGAGTGAGTGTGCGAGTGAGTGTGTGTGAGTTTGAGTGAGTGTCTATGAGTGCACGTGTGTGTGTGTGCGCACGAGTGTGAGTGCACTTGAGTGAGTGAGTGTGTGTGAGTGAGTGAGTGCGAGTGAGTGTGTGCATGCATGTGTGTTTGTGTGTCAGTCTGCGATTGCGAGTGAGCGAGTGAGTGAGTGTGTGTGTGAGTGCGTGTGGGTGTGAGTCAGTGTGAGTCAGTGTGTGTGCGAGTGAGTGTGCGAGTGAGTGTGTGTGAGTTTGAGTGAGTGTCTATGAGTGCACGTGTGTGTGTGTGCGCACGAGTGTGAGTGCACTTGAGTGAGTGAGTGTGTGTGAGTGAGTGAGTGCGAGTGAGTGTGTGCATGCATGTGTGTTTGTGTGTCAGTCTGCGATTGCGAGTGAGCGAGTGAGTGAGTGTGTGTGTGAGTGCGTGTGGGTGTGAGTCAGTGTGTGTGTGCGTGTGTGTGTGAGTATACAAGTGCGAGTTCACTTGAGTCTGATTGAGTGTGAGTCTGTGTGTGAGTGAGTGCGTGTACGCGTGTGTGAGTGCGCGTGAGTGTTAGTAAGTGTGAGTATGAGTGAGAGTGAGTGTGCACGCGTGAGTGTTCGCGTGTGTGAGTGTTTGTGAGAGTGAGTGCATGTGTGTGTGTGCGAGTGAGTGAGTGTGTGTGTGTGCGTAAGGGAGTGTGTCTGAGGGAGTGCGTGTGAGTTTGTGTGTCTGTGAGTGTGCGTATGTGTCAGTGTGTGTGCGCGAGTGTGCGTGAGTGTTTGTAAGTGTGTGAGTATGAGTGAGATTGAGTGTGCACGTGTGAGTGTGCACGCGTGAGTGCGCGTGTGAGAGTGTTTGTGAGTGTGAGTGAGTGCATGTGTGTGTGTCAGTCTGCGAGTGCGCGTGAGTGCGAGTGAGTGAGTGTGCAAGTGCGTGTGTTTGTGAGTGTGAGTGCGAGCATGCGCGTGTGTTAGTCTGCGAGTGCGCGTGAGTGTGCGTGTGAGTGTGTGTGTTTGTGAGTGTGTGTGAGTACATGCGCGTGAGTCTTGAGT